GTTCAGGACAAGCATCTTCACCATCTTGAAGCACTTTGTTGCACCATTTACTCATCTGCTTCATGTGTTCCTTCACTCTCCTTAGCCTCTGCCATTACCAAATTTTAACCTCTTAGATCATTCACACAAAAAAAAATCCACCTATTATATAAAACACAATTATGTTGGAGCAACTCTAAGAAGAAAGTTCTTGCCAGACGTTTGACTAAAAATTGAAAACACCATGTATACGACCAAGAATTCACATCATGATGAGACAAGAATCAAAGTAATTAACCTTACAATCGGGATTCTCCTCCTTGATGAAATCACTACTCATCGAAGATGTCTTAGCGGGTGACAGATTCGGGTCAGACACCGATCTCATCAGAGAGGGTGGCAATGGCGGGAATGCAGAAGGCCCACTTCCCTTCGGCATAGAGAAGGTTGGGGGAGCTGTCTCGTTATTGCTAGCTTCTATTCTTGGATTCTCAGGGGGGGGACTTTATCCAATTATCTAATTCGTGTCCACATGAAGGATACAGATGTTGGAGATATAAGTATTGTGATCACGATCCAATTATTCGTGTAATATATTGAATACATTATTATTTGATAATTTATTTTAATATATGATATGTTTAATTTATGTGATAAAGTTCTTAATTAAATTTGTAGGTTTTACATCAAGATGTGGATCTTGATAATGAGAGTAAAACCTTTTATAATTTAATTTAAAATGTTCTTAGTCGTTGGATCATAAAAATGGGACATTAATGATCTGGTAAGACTAATATATATGTGATAGTTTTTATAAGATAAAGATTAATTAATCTCATTAATTAAATCATATACATAGATGATGCATATGGAGATATGATCATTAAACTGACCCAATTGAGAATTTCTAATGGTTAATATTATCTTAAACTATCAATAAAGTATTCTCTTATTTTAATAAGATGTAAGAATTTTCTTAGACATGAGATCATCATGGTAATTGATAAGTCATTTATTATATTTTGATTCTGCATACTTATAGTCATAGAACTGTGGTTGAAAGAATATTGAGTGTGATTAAATTCTTGTAAAATTAATGATTGGTCAAGACAGAATCTGTAAACTTGGGTAATAAGTTTAAACTCTATGTTATTATTTATTATAATAACTAAATTAAGACATTGGGCAGAACAGTTGAATGAAAGAAGAAAATAGTTTCTAATGTCATTCATTAGTCAATTATAATTGACATGAAATATAGTTGGTTATCTATTGAGATTTGACGGTTAAACCATATCCTATGATTAATGCAGAGCAATAATAACAGAAAGAAATATTAAATATTTTTTTAACAGATTCTTGAGAGTAATTGTACATTTCATACTATCCGGTCGTTGAACAGTGCTGTTATATGCCAACCTTAATTAGTAAATTAGTTTGACCAATTTTTACCGGTTTAGTGTTGAACCTATGGGGTCGCACACTAATAAAAATTTTGATTTTTGCTAAATAGATTAATTATTTTAATTATTTGAGAATTAAATTAGACAATTTAATTTAATCAAATAAATAAATTTTTTAGTCTAGATGGAATATTATTATATTTTTTACTAGCTCCGAAAATATAATTAATATTTTAGATAAATTGAATTTTTCTATTTTTAAAATAGAAAATTAATATTTATATTTTGGTTATTATATTATTAATGTAATAATATAATATGTGGGTTATTATAATAACTGAGATTATTATAAAATTTAATTTAAAATTAAATTAGTTTATAAAATTATTTTGTTAAATAATAATAATTAAAAAGAATAAACATATATATATGAGATATATATGTAAATATTTCCGTGTTATAAAGAAAAAGAAAGTGGGGTTTTTGAAGAGTGTGAGAAAAGAATTAAAAATCAGTTGTACATAAAAAAAAAAATATTGGTGAATTCTCTGTTAAGATTTTATTAAAAATATTTAACATATTCTTATATCGGTAAGTTTCATTAATCAAAGAATTAAATAATAAATATTAATTTTGGTAGGTGGTAGGAATACGCATAAAGTATTCGTATTTTTGGATAATTTTAATTTAAAAATTTACTGTCACATATATTTTAAATTTAATTTTTAATTTATAATATAATTTATAAATACAAATAAATCAGATTAAATTATTATTTTTATATTTTTTTACGTTTTATTCACATATTATAATCTATCCACATATAGGAGGAGTAAGGATCTGAAATGGAACGACGAAGAACGGGGGTGGAGCGGTTGAGGGTGTGAGCGGGATTAGAGAATGAAGCCAAGGGAAGGTAAATCTCGGAGAAGCCATGAAGGGATAGGTTGGAGTCTTGTTGTTGTGAGAAGAGTTTCTTGGGTTTGAGTTGAGTGGAAAGGGAGGATTCAGGGGATGGGCGCTTCATGGTGCTGGTGGGGGTGGAGGCAGGGGCGCTGTCGTTGGAGACCGAGGAGACGGTGGAGGAGAAGCTGCAGCCACAAGAGGTCCAGGGAGAATGCGATACAGCGGGTTATATCTGTTGATGTGGAGGAGGGATA